TAAAAGTTTGTTCAAATTTAATAAAATTTTAACCATATATAGAATTCATTATGAGGAACAAGTTTACTTAATATATACAAATTGTTTTTACTAATAAAATAAAAAGTTTAATATATGACAACTATTTCCGTTTAATTAAAATAATTCTTAAGTAGTCCTTCATTTATTGGGGGGGACTGTATATGTGAAGTGATATTAAAAATATTAACATGATTTTACATTGTAAAACGGTTTAAAGTATTAAAGATCAATCAATCAATAGATTATTCAATTTTTGGCTGCGATAAAAAAACACATTATTTTACATTATAGGCTACAAGCATTTTATTTCGAGTAAACATGTTTTTTTAGTGGTCAAAAATTTCTATTATATTTTTGGTCTTCAAGAAACCAATTAACATGGGCTTCCTGATGTTTGGAAATTGAAATTTTAAATTTTAGACATGGACCATGGACCATGGAACGATTTCTATTAATATTTAAATCTGCCAATTTCTTCGATTGACTTTTGAAGTTAAAGTCGGATAGGATCGGACCTTCTTGCATCCCTTAAAAATAACTGAGCAATGAGTTCGAATTCCTTTTTTTTTTTATATATATATAAGTATATGACGTTTTGCTGCACAATGCATTCGTTCTTGGTGAGGCGCGGCTGGTCGACACATTTGATGAGACAAGGAATTTCGGTTGTGTACTTTTACAATGCATCAACCAATGTCCAATCCATGGGATCGATTTATTGACGTGAATATTGTCTAGCCACAATGACAGTCCATACAAGTACATACAAGGATGTCACGTGAAGTCGGACGCTTCTAATAAAGGAAAGGTTCAAGATTTTCAAACAGGGTTATCAACGAGAAATATAAATATTTACAAAATTGATATATCAAGAACTAGTTTAAATTTATATACCATTTAAAGAAGAAGAAACTGAATTGACAGTGCGAATACCAATGCAAGTTAAGAAAAAGAAATTACTTTCCACAAGCATGCCAAAAAAAGTTCGGATATAGAGAAATTCTCTTGAATTCCTTTTCGGGAATTGCAGTCCTCGCATAAGAATAAATAGAACCGATGAGACGTAAAAAAAATACCTAAAGAAAAACTGGGTGCTTTTTTCACTCTTTTTATGCGCGAAAATGTCCCTTCAGTTTTTGAAAAAATAATGAAAGATTGAGGGCTGGTTTTCCCTTTAATTTTATATTGTAAATTCACATTCTCTTATATCCTCTTTATTATTAAAAAAATTCATTCATTCATTCATTAAAAAGACAATCCAAAATCCATAATAAACATAATGGCATCTCCTAATCCATACTTACCCTTAATGAAACGTGGAATAACAATAGCAAGTAAAGACAGCTTGTCATCATTTCCATCAGATTTTCTTGCTGACAGATTTCATGGATATGAACTCTATGTCACCGGTGTAATAGCCATCTATTTTTATGATTTAATTATACACGCTAAAGAAGATTGGTCTTGGTATTTAAGAAGGAAATGGATCGTCCCTGATTTTGCGTTTTTCATTCTCGACAAGTAAGTTGTATTTTGAAATTTCCCTACCTAATCGCAAAAAAAAGAAAACATCATAATGAGTAACATCCTAACAACGTTTTCCTTTCATCCTTCCAGGATAAACACACTATTCTATTGTGCGATCATTTTATTTTTCCTACATTACGCTCATCACACTCCATCAACTTGCGAATCCACGGAAATTATTTCAACATGTTTTTACGCATTAGGCATCAGCCTTCAATGTTTAGAAATGCTCTCGATTCTCCGGTCGTATTACTCCACTTCCATCCTCTTGCTCATCTCTCTATTTGCTTATTCCGGTGCAACGTGTATTTTTCACGTTTCAAACATCTTCGGATTTGGTATTTTTACCGTGGGGAACGATGGAAATTGTTACCTACAACCAGGACAAACACCAGAACCATGGATTCCCGTCGCATTCATAATGATGGCAATCTTTAGTTTGATCATTTTCGGATTAATCGCGGTCAAAGTGTATTCGTTGAGGTGTTGGAATGAACTTGAGAAGATGCGCTGGCGTTGCCTCTTCTTCGATGACGGCATCTCATATTTAGTGTTGAACGTTACATTTCAGATGATCAATGTTGTCTTCATCCTCGTAAAGACAAACTACATAGATAACTTTGTTAATGTTGCACCAACACTTATCATTACTTCAATCTGTTGCCAAAGATTAACTGTCCTGAGCGCGAGTTCAATCGTCAATCGTTATTCCACCTCTTCGCTTCTGGGTTTTTCAATTAAAAAAAAGTCCATAGATAGCTCAAACATCTCCACGCCCACATTGCTCCCCCAATACAACGAATATAACAGATACACGATTGATAGTATATCAGGAGGAATCTCTCGACAATTATCGATCTCACAAAAATATCCGCCACAAATTCCCCAAAACATCTCATCAAGAATCAGTCAAGACTTCACCAGTTCATTAGTAACCATCATCAATAGTTTTAGCATCACGGATAACTTCATGTTAAACGATAATTTACTGAATTCTTTAAATTCCCTTAGAAATAGCATAACAAGTTTTTTTGGTAGTAATCATTCTTCTGTAAAAAATCATAGACTTTTAGAGGAGGGGGGTTACACACAGGAAAGTATTCGGAATTACAGTAGAACGGAGGACGTGAATTTCTCTTCGCGTATAAGCGTCATCTCCATACAAAATAATGAAAGGGACGACAAGTCCTACGAATTGGTGTTGTCACCACCACAAAATATATATAGCCCCGAAGGTGAAGGAGGGAAATTACGTCTTTCGGGACCTAGACCAAGAGTTATTATGCCCGAAAGCCAAATTGATCTATATTGCTTTTGGTATAGTAATGCGAACGAAGGGATTTTAAAAGAAGAAGACGTGTTCTTGTTTCCTCCCATACCACCGAAAGCTCAAAATATTAATGAAGACCTTTATTAGAAAAAAAAAAACAATAATCCCTTTTTTTAGAAAGTTAGAAAGTTTAACTTAGAAAGTCGCGTATTTGGTGACCAATGATTGTATTATTGCTTGTACAGTATATTATTTTATTTATATAAATAATCATCATTGCGATTGATTAGATCGGCATTATTTTCGCATCCTTGTCTAATAATGATAAAGAGAGGTGGTTCAAAGCTTCCTTCGCAAAAGAATGAAACTTCTCACTCATATTATCGCGACGGCTTGACCGCATTTAAAGAGAATGATTTCAAAAAAGCCCTTACACTTTTCAATAAGGTTGCTCAGAACTGTTTTTCCTCGCGTTTTTTTTTTCATAACTAGAGGCATTATCGAATGATGTTCTCATTATTCGTATACACTTTAGGCAATAACATTGAATCCAGGAAATATTCAATTGCACGATTGTCGCGCAGCAACATGCGAAAAACTTGGTCAGCTGAATGAGGCCCGACAAGATGCTGAGACTATGCTGAGATTAGACAAGTCGTCAGCAAAGGTACTGACTGACATGAAATTATCGTGTCAATGATCTGAGACATCATTCATCATGATTTTATAGGGCTATCTCCGTGCTGGTAAATTGTATCGGCTGTTGAATCTGCATGATAAAGCGCGAGAGATTTATAAACTTGGAATAACGAACGTTCCGGAAAATGATCCTCTTTATGAGGTAAGTAACAAACAAACCCGTCATTCCAAAGTATTGGCTAATATAAGCATGGAAGTTTAAAGACTCTGTAATATCAGGCATTATGCAGACTTAAGGGTGAAGGGCACAAAAAACCGCAGGTTAAACAATTTCGTTCTATCCAAACGCGTTATCATCTGAGTAGAGCCTTACACCATCTGACTTTTTAAAATAGAAGTCAAACCCTACCAAAATTTATGACCCACTAATGTTTTTCCCGAATGAGCTCATCCATGAAATCTTCATGAGTCTTCCTTTTGCGACTGTTTGTAAAGCAACCTTGGTCTCCAAACGTTGGCGCAAATACATCATCTCGTCGGGATTACTACATCGTAGCCTTGATTTCACCGTAAAACAATCAGTTAAAATCACGGACAAGATTATTCGAACTTATATCGACCGAGGAAAATCAAAAATTAAACAAGTGATTTGTCCTTGTTCTCAAAAACTTACTGATGCCACTCTAAAATATTTGAGAACTGTATTTGGAATTCGCCTTCAGAAAATCGTATTGACATACAATTCGTCAATTACTAACGACGCCATCGTTCCCCTTATTCGCACAATTGGCAGTCATCTAAAACATATCAACCTTTCAGGTACAAATATTATGAATAAGGGAGTGGAAGTAATACTGTCAATTTGCTCTAGATTAGAGATTTTGGACCTGGAGCATTGCAGCCGTATTACAGCTCAAGCATTCAATCCAGAGAAGATACAATGTCGAGCTTCTGGAATTCGCGAAATTAATTTGAACTATTCCCCTATGACCGAAATCGCGATATCTTTTATGGTGACATTGTTTCCAAAGCTCACGTGTCTCGGCATTCGTCAAATCATTGGGTTATCGACAGAGACGTTAAAAGAATTCCCCAATTTTCCGGATCTAAATTCTCTTTCCTTGGAGGGATGTATTTTTAGTGGGGAACTACAGTCCATGGATAGGGCCTTCGTTTCACTCGCCAGTTCCTGTCTGCCACTCCGTGAATTTTCATTTGAGCAGTGTCCTTCGTTGACGGATAACTGTGTTCGATGCCTAGTGACGTCTTTCAATCTGGAAGTACTGGAACTTAACGGCAATAATCTCTTAACTGATGAGACGATGTATAATATCGGTGTATACTGTAGTCGGTTAAAGGTATTGCGTATCGGAAAATCTCCTGGAATAACCGACCACGGAGTTTTATCGTTATTCAACAACTCTAGTGGGGAACATCCGTTAGAAATAATTGATCTCCGGCAAAATTCAAATATTTCGAATGTTTCCTTGGAAAAAATTGCCGACCACTGCTGTAATCTAAGGGAGATTAATGTTCAATGGTGCAGTGAAATAACCGGGAGTGGCGTCGCTTATTTGGTTAAGAAGTGTAAGAGAACGTTAAAAAATCTTTACATGGAAGAATGCTCCAAGGTGTCGCTTGATGCGGCCAACTTTGCTCAAGAGATGATTGGGCTTCACGGCGGAAGGGTGAGCTACGGATTTCGCTGAAGATTAATAAATAATAATACATCATTAAACCTCAAGATAGTTTTATCATAATATTTTAATCACATCATTTGTTAAAGAAATTAGAATTTAATGTATCCGAACAGGTCTAAATAAAGTTCACATTCGGAAAAGCTATATTAACATGTTATTATTTACGCCTTTCCGACTGATTGGATTGCAAATAAATATTATTAGTTAAAAGATAATGAAATAGAATTTTTCTATTCAATACTAAATTCTTCGCATGCCCGTTTGTCGACTATTCGATTATCACATATGATATACATAATTCTAGCGAATGAAGATTCGAGTGGCAATCATGAAATATCAAATCGTTTTAATCGACATTTGTTTGTTCGTAACTAAACTCCCAGAAGTTAATCGATTAATTAAATCAAGAAAATTTCATGATCACACTTTCGCGCAGAGTCATGGATGGCTCTTTTCGCATCACATGAAAATTCACATCCAAACCCATTCATCATCATCATCACACATCTGTTTAAAATAAAATAGATCATTTATTTATTTGAATAGCAAAAAGACGAACTCGTGGTGAAGAAGTCCGATAAAAGAAAGAAAGATTTGATATCGAAGAATAAGAAAAATGTCCCACCAGCGAAGGTGATAGCCGAATCTACACTTGGGGGACAGGATATGGATAAACAA